CAACGAACAGGAAATGACGTCACCGTTGCAGAAATTTTTTCAAAAGTTGGACGTCGATGGCGATGGGACAATATCCATCAAGGAAATAACCGACGGCTTCAAAATATTCGATAAAAACCGTTAGTCAGCAACTTAGTTATTCTTCTTTTTTTCATATTATTATTATTATTATTATTATTATTATTAATACCTTTAATTCGTTTTTTATTTATTTTCAGAGGTAGAAATAAAAAACACACGCAGCTCATACGAACACGCAAGAACTCACGCATCACAAACATTGCGTTTAGTAGTAGGGGATTTATTCGCATTCAACCCAGACACTGCGACAGTTGGACCAGACGCCTTACCCACTACGCTACCCTACTCCATTATATTTGGCATAAACAAAAAAAAAACTCTAGCCAATCAATGCCTTCGAGTTCATTTCATTCAATGCTTTCCAACGTCTGCCCATGTTAATTGATAGTCGCGTACTAACACAAACTTTTTTAGCAATAATTAGCAGACAAAAAGAATAATTGAATGAACGAATGAATGAACGAACGAATGAATGAATGAATGAATGAATGAAGGAATGAATGAATGAAGTAGAAACGAAATAAATGAAAGAACGAACTTAATAACTGAAATTAATCAATGAAATGATGTAAATGAAATATGTAAATTTAACAAATTTAATAAAGCAACGTTCACAAACTTTTCACACATACACACGCACGCTCAACACACACACACATACACACACACACACACACACACACACGTATAAATAAACAAACAAACAGAGACAGCAAAATACATCCGACTAATTATTAGAAAAATGACGTCACCATAATTCATCACGTGGCAACATTGATGATGATTGCGTAATTAAAAATTAACACAACTCGTTTGTTTAATTACATCCAACACTTTGTTTTATTGGCACAATAGCATGCATTTGAACGTACACACACGCACACACACATGCACACACGCACGCACTTACACACACACACATACACATCCATGCCTTCACGCACACACACTCACACACACACGCACGCATGTAGTTAAACTTTTAATCCAATCGGATATTAAATATCCTAATAACTTCTTAATCAACATCAGCGTTTCTTCTTTCCATCATCATCATTATGGTTGTTGTTGTTATTATTCTTAAAGAAAAAGAAAAAACTAGAGAAAGAGAGAAAAGAGAGAGAGAGAGTGAAGTGAAAAGAACAATAGATGGAGATAAAAAATGAAAAGAAAGAGAAAGAGAGTAAAAGAAAGAGAACATAAGTTGTTGTGTGGAAGTGAGAAAAAAAAGAGAAAAAGATGGGGAGAGAGAGAAGAGAGAGAGAGAAAGAGAGGATTGGGAGAGAAGAAAGAGAGAAGAGAGAGAGAAAAAAAGAGAGAGCCGGAGAGACACAGTCGAAGCTAGAAAACAATTTGTTTTCCTTCCCTTTTACACATGCAGACATGCAATGTCGTATTGTTTACTGAAAATTTTAGCAACAACAAACAACAACATACAACAACAACATACAACATACAACAACAACAACAACAACATCAACAACAATATACAACAACATCAACAGCAACAACAACATACAACAACAATATACAACAACATCAACGACAATATACAACAACATCAACAGCAACAATAACAAACAACAACAAGTAACAACAACACCAACACAAACAACCTACTTCACAGACGATGGCCACATATCTGAAGAGGAATGGACCGACATATTCGTTACGGACTTAAAAGGGACTCGCGACGAAGCGGTCCGACTATTCGGTTTGATCACCGGAAGCGGTTCGAAACTCACCCTAGATGCATTCATCAAATTTTTCAAAAACATGGACACTGATGGTATTTGGTTTGGTTGGCTGGTTGATCGATTGGTTGGCAATGATTAGTTGATTGATTGAATAATTAGTTGATTGATTGATTAATTAGTTGATTGATTGAATAATTAGTTGATTGATTGAATAATTAGTTGATTGATTGATTAATTGATTGATTAATTAGTTGATTGATAACTAATTGACTAATTGGTAAGCTAGTTCAATCGTATAAATAACTTTTGAATGACGATGAATTAGATATTTGGTTTTAATGTAACAGCCACCCTACTCTAACTTCTCTGTTATGTAATTTCTTTAAATTTGAAACTCAATTTAAAATTTTTTCTCTAAATTAAACCCTTAATTTTAACATTTTTTCTAAATCAAATGCCCCAGAAACTACACACACGCACATACACACACACACAAACAAACAAGCACACACACACAAACGAGCACACACACACAAACGAGCACACACACACACAAACACATATACAATATAATAACACCACAATAAGCATCATTATGCATTAAGCTTATCACGATTGACGCGTTAAGACAATGGCGGAAAATTAAAAATACATTTGTATTTTTCGTTTTGTATTCTGATTTTCGTACTACAATAAGTACTTTTTGGTATTTAGGTTTATAAATGTATGTGTATACTCAACTGTTCTTACAAATGTATGTAGTGTATGTTGTTTGTTTGTACGTAATTTGTATGTATGGTAGAATAGGTATGAGTGTGTTGCTTATATTTGCATTAATGTGTGAATATATATATATGTATATATATATATATATGTATATATATATATATATATATATATATATGTATATATATATATGTGTGTGTGTGTGTGTGTGAAGTTGTGTGTGTATATGTGTGTGTGTGTAGTATGTATTTTTGTATTGTGTGTTTTTATGACATGATATCCGTTCCAAAACATTATTTATAACTCGGAAATATGGTATGGTATGGTATGGAGAATTTATATAGCGCCTCTCTATGTAAAACACAGAGGCGCTGTTTTATATACGAGTTTGATCCTGTTATATAAATAATTATATAAATAAAAAAATAATTTGTTGAATATTTTTTTTAAATGAATTTTTTCTTCTGAAAAAACCGAAAAAAATACGATCAGGTGATGGAACAATCTCAAAAAGTGAATTCGAGACGCATTGGAAGTAGCTGGAAAATAATGCCATGTTGCCACGTGATCCTAAGTAGTGTTGTTGTATCTGTGTTTGTATGCGTCTTTGTATGCTTGTTTGTTTGTACAAATGCATACATGTATATTTTGTGTATGAATGTTTGCTTCACAAAAAAACTTTACACATACACACACACACAAGTATAAACGACCACACTCACACACAAGTACGTACATAAGTACATACAAGAGCATACACGACGCACACACTCCACTAAAGCTAGCATACACTCCAATGTTTAACAACTGTTATATATTAAATTTTATGATAATTTTCATCATTATTTCCAATTACACGCGGGGTACAATAGGCGCTAGAAAGGCTGCTATTCTATTCATTCATTCATTCTTTCATCTATTCATTCACTCATTCATTCTTTCATCTATTCATTCACTCATTCATTCATCAATTCATTCACTCATTCATTCAGTTATTCATTCATTCGCTCATCTTTTCATCCATTTATCTATTCATTCACTCACACATTCATTCGTTCATTCACACAAAACCACATCTCACTCATCAACACGAACACACACACACAAACGTACGAACACACACACACGTACGAACAGACACACACGTACGAACAGACACACACGTACGAACAGACACACACGTACGAACAAATACACACGTACGAACACACACACACACACACTCACACACAGAGAGAGAGAAATAAATGCAATCACAGACCTAGCAGATTATTAATGAATAACGTAGGGGTTTATATCATTTTGATGGGCACACATACGTAGTCATTCATTCATTATTTATTCATTTATTAATGTTTAAATATTTATCTAGCGGCCTCAGACAGACACACACACACACAGACGGACACACACACACAGACAGACACACACAGAGACAGACAGATACACACAGAGACAGACAGATACACACAGAGACAGACAGACACACACAGAGACAGACAGACACACACACAGACAGACATACACACGCAATCATAATAAACTTTTTTTTATCAGGCAATCAACGTTGGCGAGTGAAGATAAAAACTAACAGTTTATCATTAAATACGTACTAGAGATTGATTTTAAATATAATTTTTAAAAATAATGATAATAAGAATAATAATAAAACGAAAAAACAATAATATATCTTAATTTGTTTATGATTAATAAAATCATTTTCGATCCTTTATCAAGTAAAATCGAACTATTAACATATTTCTCTCTGTAATCAACTTAGCTTTCTACCAAAAAGATTCTACGAAAAAAAAAAAATGACAAAAGATTAATGTTAAGTAGCACCTAAACATTGCGAAAAGGTTCCATTTGTTACCAAACAAAGGTGCCAAATTAGCCACATTAAGCGTCTTTTGTCGACTTTTGAATGAAGTAAAAAAAAGAAACAGTCAAAAAAATGTTAAAATTTTTCTTCAAATTTAATTTTTTTTCGTAAAAAAACAGCCATCCAGTGCAACAAAACGGAAGAAAGCATAACTTAATTTACTCAGAACGTAACGTATATTTAAGATTTTCAATTTGAAATCTCTATTGTTCATAACAAAGGTGGGCAAACTGCGGCCCGCGAAGCTATTTTATGCGGCCCGCGAGGTCTTGTTCACCAAAAAAAGGTTGTCAGTCAAAAAAGGAGCCAAAAATCTTAAAAAAATTGTCCCCCATGTCGAATAAATTTGCATTTAAGTACATATGCGGTCCTTCGAAGGTCAAATAGTTTTCGATGCGGCCCTCACAGCAAAAAGTTTGCCCATCCCTGATTTAGAATACCATATATAAATATAAAATTAATGTCAGAATGACACATTTAAGATATTTACACACAAACCTTAGCTCATTATAAATAGAATGAAATAATAAAATGATAATAACTAATAATAAATAAATAAACAACCAGTTAAAAGTTTAATTAATCAATTAACTAATCAAATTCTTTTGGCAAAATTAGTTTAAATTAGCAGAAGCAGTTTCGATGAATTTAGCTAATGTGATGTCTTTCTTTGAGAGTCCATTGACATCATGTGTGCTGAGTGTCACTTGCAGCTGAAATAAATAAATTAATTAGTTAATTAATTAGTTAGTTAATTAATTAAAAAATAAATAAATGGGTAAATGCTGAATTTGTTAATCGAATTGGAACAGTTTTGAGATAATAGCCAGCAAAAAGTTTTAATGAGTCCCGTTGTTAAAAGGCGTTTTTGAGGAATATTTAAGTTTGGTTTTACATTTTTGAAGTTATGTGTTTCTCATTCAATCATTCATTCATCCATTCAATCGTTCATTCATTCATTCCTTTAATCATTCATTCATTCATTCATTCATCCACGCAGTCACTCACTTTGTTATAGACATTGAACCATTCAGGGTGGTGATCCATCTTCTCAGCCTGCATTGCAACTCTGCTCATCACTCCAAACGCCTGCAAATTTTTACAAAAAATTCTTTTTTCAAAAAATAAATTGATAAAATGGACAAATAAATGAATGAAATATTGAAACAGGGAGAAGAGAGAAATATATATAACTATTCAAATGAATAATCAACAAAGTGTTATAAAGTTCTAATACCTGGTTGAAATTTTTGAAAAAAAATTCTTTGTAGATGGCATCTCTACCCTCGACAACCTTCCAGCCGGATCCAAGCAGAGGAGTCAATAAGTCTTTCCTCTCCTCGTCATTCAATTTGTTTACGGCCTAGTTTTTATTTTTATATATAAAAATTTGTAAAAAAAATTTGAAAATAATAAAATTGAAATAAAAAGTAACAACAGACTGTTCATTACATAGAATGTTAGAATAACATGAAGTATATAAATTAAAATCATATTATACGGTACCATGCCTAAGGCCTGATCAAATTCTAATTACTAATTCATCAATAGACTTGATTATTTCATTCATATAATCAAAAATATATATATTCATATATTAAGCTCTGATTACATAACTATTAATAATCAACAAGTAAATTCGCCTAAACATAAGAGAGTAAATTTGCATAAATGTAATAATTCATAATATAAGAAATAAATTTAAATGACCATTTTTTTAGCAAAGAACTGAACTCTCTGATAATAAAAATAATGATGTCCTTTGTTGTTGTTGCAGCTGCTGCTGTTGATGGGTGATGATGCCAACGAATTCAAATTATTTTCAAGTAACGACAGATGTGAGAGGAGTCTTTTGTAGTTATTAATATATCTCATGGCAAGTGTGGAAGACTTAGTAGTGGCATAGCACACTAACTACTATATCTACTATACTTAAGTATACTAGTAAATTATATATGGTTATATTACATATAATATGTAATACATACACATATAATACATATAATATATAATCTTTATAATATATAATATAATCTAGACCCTAAAGTTATTTATATATAGATAAAAGACAGATAAATAGATAGATAGATTATTATAGATAGAGAGTATCTATATATCATATGAGTACATAAAATTATGAATAGAAATAGAGATAGATAGATAGTTGTTAGTACTTTAAAGTTTAACTTCTTAGTAGACCAATGATAAATTTTGCCTGTGTGTGTCTGGAATATTTTATCTGGAAAAAATGTTAGTATACAATAATTACTCGAATGAAAAAAATATCGTTATACTTTAAAAATAAAACAATAAAAAATGAAATAAATAAAGAAAAGAAAACCCACACGGAGATAGACAGACAAAGACAGACAGATGGGTCTGTGTGAAAGAGATCCAAATCAAAGTTTGAAGTTCAAATTCCGCTCAAATATTTATTCAATTAAAGTGCCACTAGCAATGCAATTTAAAATGTACTTTGGTCCAGAATATAATTTTAAATACTCAAATAGTCATTTGTCTTTCCGTCATTTTATAAAATTTACTTACCATTTATTTGCATTTTCATTCGTACTATATTTACTTTACGTTTAAAAGCAGATTTTGAGTATAAATTTTTAGCTGGGCCATATACATACAAGAACAGACTTAAAAACGTAAGTTTTGTTTTATTTTAATAACTTTTTTGAAACGAAGCACGTTTTAAGTTAACAATTTTTATAATTTATTAATATAATTTTTTTTTGTTTTTTAGATTGAGGCGTAAATTGAAGAGGAAAATTGAGTTAAACTAATAGAAAACTACAAACTTTATCAACTTTCCATAAAGTTAAAAAGATTAACTTTTAAATTCAAAACCTGGGTTTTTTTATTTCTTCCTGGAAGTAATTTTAAATAAAAAAGCATGTTGAATTTTAATCTTTTAGTGATTTTATTTTTATTATTTGTTTTGAAATTGAAATCAATAATTTCTGCTCCGACTGAAGATGAAGTGACCAGCTTGAACCGCCTTTCATGGAAGCCGACCTTTCGCCATTATTCAGGATATCTAGATGCTGGAAGCAATAAATTTTTGCACTACTGGCTAGTCCCTAATTAAATTAAATTACTAACTCTCTTCTCTATTCTTTTTTATTTTCAAGTTTCTTTAAACATTGAATCTGTCACAAATAAATTATTTATATTTATTCATCTAGCAATCTAACTAATAATTAATTACTTATGTAATATATTTATTTAACTTTTTATAACTAATTTTTATATATATTTATTTAATAAATAATGCATGCTGTAGGTAGGTTGTAGATTCTTATTCTTATTAATATCAATTTATCTATTTTACATCCAACATGCTTTTTTAAAATTTCGGATTGTTAATAAATTAAAAAAAATATTTTTAATCATATTTTACTTACTTATCATTAAATTATGTTAATAAATAAATAAATCATATGATACTAGTTTAAATTTAAAATTAATTTAAAACAAGGTTTGTCGAGTCACAAAATGACCCTTCAAAAGACCCAGTGGTGTTATGGTTGAATGGGGGTCCGGGCTGTAGCTCATTAGATGGCCTCCTAACTGAACATGGGCCCTTTATATTGAATAGTAACTTAATGCTGGAGAAAAATGAATTTAGCTGGAATTTGATCGCCAATGTTCTCTATTTAGAATCGCCAGCCGGCGTTGGTTTCTCATACACTACTGATAAGAATTACACTACATCTGACAATGAGGTTAGAATTAGGGTTTAGTACTTTCACTTCAAATTTAGTCAATTTTCTTGCTGGTCACCTAATTATAAATCTAGCTGAATTAGATTGATATTGATTACACAATTAAATGATAAAATTACATACTGAATTGTATTGTCTTTTTTTGTTATTTTATATTTATTTATTTTTAAGATAAATTTTTAAATAACTACAATTTTTTTCATGATTTTTTTTAAACCAAAACTGAACACTTTCATAATCAACTTCACACACAGGTAGCCCTGCACAATCATCAGGCCTTGACATTCTTTTTTACCAAAAAGTTTCCAGAATATTCTAAGAATGATTTCTACATAACTGGGGAGAGTTATGCTGGCATATACCTGCCTACGTTGGCTCTGAGGCTCATTCCTGATGCTTCCATCAATTTTAAGGTGAGTTATTTCATTTTATTCTCTTTCATCTACGTTTATTTTTATTGTAATTTAATCATTAACTTTATTTAAATAAGTAATTCATATATCATTAGATAATTAATATTGTTTATTTAATATTTAACTATTTGATTAAGATTTTAAAATTGTTTAAAGGGCATGGCTGTTGGGAATGGTTTATTGAGTTATGCACTGAATTCAAATTCGTTAGTCTATTTCGCCTACGACCATGGTCTCATCGGGGAGGAGCTGTTCCTAACATTAGTGCAAAAGTGTTGCAAGGGAGGCAATAGTACACTTGGAAATTGTAATTTCAACACTAAACAATGCATTAGATATGTGAGTTAATTTGTTTTCTCACTGGTTGGTTGGTTGATTAGTTGGTAAGTTGACTGGCTGACTGATTCTTACGTCCTACCTCAGGAATCCGGGACTCTGGACGCAAAACGAAGATTGATTGATTGATTGATTGATTGATTGATTGATTGATTGATTGATTGATTGATTGATTGATTGATTGATTGATTGATTGATTGATTGATTGATTGATTGATTGATTGATTGATTGATTGATTGATTGATTGATTGATTGATTGATTGATTGATTGATTGATTGATTGATTGATTGATTGATTGATTGATTGATTGATTGATTGATTGATTGATTGATTGATTGATTGATTGATTGATTGATTGATTGATTGATTGATTGATTGATTGATTGATTGATTGATTGATTGATTGATTGATTGATTGATTGATTGATTGATTGATTGATTGATTGATTGATTGATTGATTGATTGATTGATTGATTCTTAAGGGAACTGCACTTACTATAAAGTTATGATGAATCCTTATAAATATTTGATACTTTTAATTTTGTACTATTAAATTTGAACATAATTTGTTTTCTATCAAATAAACATACACACACACACACGCGCGCACACACACACAAACATTTCTCTTAGTTTTCCATGGTCATAGAAGTTGTAGATGAACTGAATGTCTACAATCTCTATGGCAAATGCTTCCCTGCATCATCTTCGTCGTCGTCATCACCTCCGTACTCCTCGAATAAAAAAACTCGACCGCACGAGCAAAATCTTAGAAAAGATTTCATATACAATAGGTACTTCAAATTCACGAAAGGTCTCATGAAGCCACCGATGTCGTCAGCAAGGGGTAAATTTAGTCCTCCGTGTATCGATGACTTGGCCATCACTAAATACCTCAACGATCCAAAGACACAAAATGATTTGCACATTGTTAACTTTCACGAAACTTGGTCCGTCTGCTCAGCTCTTAATTATATTAAGGAGTACGAGAATGTGTACTATCAGTTTTCAGAGATATTGAAATCTAAGGTGAGGGTTTCGGCATCTAATTATTGATCTCTAACTATTTTATTATCATTATTTTATTACTGAATAATATTATTCAAAATATAATATAATAATTTATTTATTTTTTCTCAATTTTTATTATTTAACTATTTTCAATCTTTAGATTGTTATCTTAAATTTCCAAATTAACTTTTTCAACATTTTGCCTTAGCCTACATCCTAAACCACGCTACATCGCTTCATAATATTAATAATAGTTATAAATATAATTATCATTTCATAATATTATTAATAATTATAAATATAATTATCATTTCATGATATTAATAATAATTATAAATATAATTATCATTTCATAATATTAATACTAATTATAAATATAATTATCATTTCACAATATTAATATTTTTTATAAATATAATTATCATTTCATAATATTAATAATAATTATCATTTCATAATATTAATACTAATTATAAATATAATTATCATTTCATAATATTAATATTTTTTATAAATATAATTATCATTTCATAATATTAATAATAATTATAAATATAATTATCATTTCATAATATTAATACCTATTATAAATATAATTCCTATTTTATAACTACTAAAGAAATATAAAGTCATGGTCTACAATGGCGACGTTGATATGGCATGCAATTTCCTAGGTGACCAATGGTTTGTCCAGGCACTCGAAATGAAAGTAAGTCTCCCATTATAAACAATAATTATTTCTATAACAATAATTATCTCTATAATAATAATAATAATAATAATAATAATAATAATAATAACAATAATAATAATAATAATGATAATAATAAATAATAATATTATTATTATGGTTATTAGGTTCTATCAAATAGGCAGTTCTGGCTATACACAGACCTTGAAGATAAATCTCAGCAGGTGGCTGGGTTTGTCCGTAAGTACCAAAACTTGACCTTCGTCACTGTCAAGGTCGGTTCAGAATAATAATAATAATATAGTAATAATATAATATATAATAATATAATTATTATTTATATTATTGATTATTATTTTATTAGTGTTTAATTTTAAAGTATAATGATTATATTTTGTAATTGTGTGAGATAAAATATGAATTATTGTTACCATAATAACTGCAGGGCGCTGGTCACATGGTACCTACAGATAAACCATACCAAGCACTGATCATGTTTACCAACTTCTTATCTGGGGTCTTTTAATTCCTCTCTCTCTCTCTCTCTCTCTCGATCGATAAATCAATCAGTCAATCAATCAATCAATCAATCAATTAATCAATCCATCCATCCATCTATCTACCTCTCTGTTTTTCTCTCTCTCCCTCTCTTTATCTATCTCTCTCTGTCTTTCTCTACACATATTTAATTTATATTTGTATATGTGTGTTGTATACTTTTATGCAAATTTACTTTTTAATAAAACTATTTGTGTGTGTGTGTTTGTGTGTGTCTGGCCAACGAAATTTTCATTTTCAACACATTCAACCATTCAACACAACGAATTTTCAAAACCCCACACACAGACACACACACACACACACACACACACACACACACACACACACACACACACACACACACACACACTACACACACACACACACGCCTAAAATTAATCGTTGTTATAATTATTATTGTTATCGTTATTACTATGATGCCTTTGATAACATTTTTTATTCAAATAGATTAGCGTATAAAAAAATCTGGTGTTGTACTATAGTTCGATTTTTTGGAACGTCAAGCTGATTAATCTGCTAGTTCATCCTTTAAATTTTGTCTCGTTATAAAGAAATATACAGATAAATAACTATTGATGATTACAAATACAAAATACATTTTGATGGTGTGAATGTATACACAATAAAAAAATATATACATACTAGGTATTCAAGTGTTTGTACGTATTGTATATATTTTACATATTCTAAGCGTACACATCGCGCACACACACATACACATACATACGTACACACAATTAATGTATATGTTATCGTGTCTTAGTGTATTAATATTGATAAGTGTCTTCATGATGATATGGTTATAAAAACTAATACACGAAAAATAGTTTAAACGGATGAAATAAAAAGCTGAAAATAAATGAATGTGTATGTATGCGTGTTTGTATGTGTGCATGTTTGTATGTGTGCATGTTTGTATGTATATATATATATGTATGTATGTAAGTATGTATGCATATGTATGTAGGTGTAGGTACGTACGTTCGTATTTATGTACGTACTTAAGTATGTTTGTATGTATGCATATATGTTTGTGTGTATGTATTTGTATTTACGTACATGTACCCGTGCACGTTCTCAAATCGAAATATTAACAATTGACTAGCTCTAGCTAGTAGTCAAGTTTCACTGTCAACTAAGTTAATGTAAGTGTTATTATTGTTATTATTATTATTGTTGTTGTTGTTGTATTTGATGCTGTTGTTGAGAGATAGTGAGGGTGTAACGTTCAATATCGTCTCCAGTCCTCTTAACCATCTGCGCGTTTTGATCATTTGTAAAGTATTATATGCTTAGTAAGTGATCAACCAATCAATTGATCGATCGATCAATCAATCAATCAACTAATCGATCAATCAATCAACCAATTAATCAATCAATTAACCAACCAATCAATCATTCAATCAAATCAATCCGATCAATCAATCGATTTATTTATCAAACTGATTCAAACATACGAACTCGTCATACTCCTCCTTTGATTGTGCTCTGAAGTAGATGGTTTTCTTCGTCTGCTTCCACGATAGAGCAAAGATGTTTTGACCATCATTATTGTTGTTGGTACCATTATTGCTGTTGTTCATTTTATTGTTGAGGGCCCGGTGCTGATTATACGATATCTGATTGGCTTGTTTCAAATATGCCCCGTCCAATGAGATCACGTCGATCTTGCTGAACCCTACTTCCTATTGGTTCGTTTGTTTGTGAGGGGTTAATGATAAGAATTAAAAGAAAATCGTGATGATGTAATCGTTCTAAGTATTCTATCATCACCATCAACAACAGCATCATCATCATCATCATTGCTGTCATCATCATTTTCATCCAACATCATCAGCATTTGGACCAACATTAACAGCTGAGTAGAACTTTCCACAAGAATCAATGGCGAACCATAGCTCCTCCCACTGGCTATTTTTAGATTTCTTCATCATCAACTTTCCCTCCGTCACTTTTAAACTTCTGTCCTGATGATGATGACGAGGATGTGACGATGGTGATAGTGATGATTGCAATGATGACAATAATTGAGAGTTACGTCATTGCGTCATCAATTTCACCATCCAAATTATCATTATCTTTAGTTAAATAGTTAATTAGCCAATTATCTAGAGTTAATTAAAATCCGGCTGAATCAACTAACTTTCAATCGCTTTGACACGTTCTCGTTGAAGAGCAAACAATCTTGACAGAATTTAAGTTTGCCGTTGTGGATTTGGTTGTTGTTGTGTGGCTGTTGTGGCTGCGACGGTCGCGATCTGAAGCAAGCTTTGCAGTAGAACTGGTGATGATTGTGATGATGAGGATGATGATGACGACATAAACGATGAATATTTAGATGTGACGATGGGTTTGCGATAGCAATTCAGCGTTGACTTGGTATCGCCGATACTTAAAAATAAAATAAAAGATACAGAATTAACAGAAGTAAACTGATAAATACTTTAAAATAAAATAAAAGATTCAGAAAT